GAGTCTCCTGCGCGCTCCGCGCATGGTAGCTTCGGTTCCCCCGGGCCAGTTGCCATTCTAACACGTCCTGGTGCGAGGCCCAAGTGTTGGGGTTAACGGTTAACGGTGGTGAGCCGCCAGGTCGAGTGCCCGTCAAAGGCCTGGGCACGGCGCCTCCTACTGCTGGCTGGTGCTTCTGATGGGCTCGCCGTAGCCGGTGTGGCAGACGAACTTGGGGGCGGAAATTGGGGCGGTTGTTCGCCCCGTCGAGCGCTCGTCGAAGTCTCCGTCGAAGCTGGTTGTCGACGTGTCGGTGGCCTCGGCCTCGTAGTCCATATTGTCGACCTGGCCCCGCACCATATGAAACCAGCGCTGAAAACGGGCACGGGCGCGAGCGCGCTCGTTCAATGCCCGCGGGCGCAGTTCCCTCGCCAGAGAAAGCCTTGCTTGTGGCACATCAACTCCCTGATGGGCTGCCATGGCCTGTAGCGGCGGGGCTTAGGCCTCATCGCCAAGCAGTGTGTAATCAAATGGCACACAGTGTTTTCTCGATTCCAGTCGGCCCTCGCACTCACAGTGAGCGCCGGGCTCTGGTGACATCCATATGCTCGTCGTGGTCCTCAGGAGGTGGAGGAGCTGCCGCTGTAGTTGGTCTGCCCTATCACGCGCCAGTGGGTCCAGCTTGCAATCGATGGCTCGGCGCGCCGGTGGCGGGGGGCTGCGCGACGTGGGCGGCTTGCTGCCAAGGAGGCCACCCCTGGTCTTGGCGGGTCCGAATTACCGTGGTTTCACGAGCCCAGAGACGACGCTGGGATTTGCGTTCTCAGCGCCAGACGGGGCCGAGCGTCCTTGGCGTGCTGAGCAGGGCCCAGCCAAGGGCGACCCTGGGCCGCTGCCTTGTCCCGTCGCCAAGGGCTCCTGGACCCGTCTCTTCCTCCGGCAAGTGGCGACGTCGAACTAGGCTGGACAGCTCCTGGATTTAGCGCTCTAGCGCCACGCGCACCAACGCCGCGCGTTCTAACGCCGCTGCCGAAGTCGCTGTCCAGGTGGCAATCGATCTCGACGCGGCAGCCCCCGCCCTCGTGGAAATAACCCTCGAAGACGCCGTCTGCGCAGCTGCCCGCGCGCCCCTCGCCGCCGACCAGGGGGTCGCCGCAGAACTGGCCATCTGAGATCCCCCCGTGTAAGACGAAGCCCTGCTGGCACACGTTGCAAAAGATGCCAAAGGTCTTGTCGTCGCTGTCTTCGGAGCCCAGCAGGTCGTCGTCGCAGATCTGGCTCCAGTAGCTGTGGACGTTGGGGTCCCGCTGCCGCCTTGGAGGGCCACTTGGCGGTGCCTTATCAACTCGATCAGGGCTGGCTATCCACGCTCGTAGCCGTCCATACTCACATCTGTGCAGGTCCAGGGCCGCCCTGCGCTGTGCGGCATTCCGCGCAGCGAGAAACCTGGGGTCGCGCATCCTGCGCGCATGGCCGGGATGAAAGGACAGCGTGCACCAATCGGCCGCTAGCTGGCTCGGCGTTTTGTTCCGCGCCGTCAAGAGCCGTGCGAAGCGAGGGTGGCTCAGTTCCTCGGCGAGGTCGCTGATGCACCAATCTAGGTATGCCAACCTGCCGTCGCCATTCTTGCCTTGGCTGGGGTCGCGGGTCCAGCGTGTGGCCCATTGCGACATGAGTCGATCAAGTCCAGGAGCTGGAGTGGAGCGAACCCTGCGGCGAGGCGCTGCTGGGGTTTGCTCGAAATGTTCTTGGCATTGGTAGAGGTAGTCAACCATCGCGCCGTCGTAGTCGTCATAGTCACCCGTGACTGATGGGTCGGCCGACGCCGCAAGCCTATCGTCAAAATGTTCAAAATCGCAATGGCAAGGCATGCCTAACCACTTCCCAAAATTTACACCGACCATCTCGCCAGAACGCGTACTCGACTGATCATCGTAGTTCAGTATCGTGAGGCTGCCGCTGCTGCTACTCTTGCTGCGGCGGCGCCTGGGCGGCCGCGATCTTGGCCTTGGCCGCTTCCACGACCGACGGCGTCATCGCGCCACTGGTGGAGGGGCCGGCCTGCCCTGGGGGCGCCGACGGCGGCGCTGACCACGGCCCAGTCGCTGGCGCCTTGGCAGGCGGGGCCATGCCTGCAGGGGCAGCGGAGGGCGCCTCGGTGGCGGCTGCCTGGGCTTGGCTTCGCCGCTTCTTGTGCCTGGCTCCGCTGACTTGTCTGGCCCCTCGGCGCGGCCGCGCTTGGCCTTGAAGCAGGCCGTCTGCTTGGCCTGCTCCTCTTGAATGACCGCGGCCGTGGCCTTGACATCGCTGAAACATACCTTGGCGGCCTTGGTGTACTGCTTCTGGAGCTCGTCTTTGCGGCGCTGGGCCTCGGCCTTTTCGTCTGTTGATACCGCGCCCTCGAGCTCCTCGAGCTCGCAAAGCCCGCAGTCGTCGAGGAGCAGTTCCTGACCCTCCAGCAAAGTCGAGAGGTCGATGACTGGCTGTCGACTGGCGAGTTTGGGTAGGCTGCTCTGCTGCGACTGAGCTGGCAAGCCGCCTAACCGCCGTCTGGTAGAGGGCACGGGCGACGTCCACCTCCGTCGATGCTGCTGCCACCTTGGTCTGGAGCTCTTTGTGCTGCTTCTCGGCTCGTTCGAACCGCTCCATGCCGCGCTCGAGGCCAGCCACCGCCTGCTTGGCCCGCTGGGTGGCATGACCGACTGAGATGCTGGCCTCTGCCTCGGCGTGCCTGAGGGCGTTAAGCTCAGCCTGGTACTGAGCTGCCCCTGCGGCGTCACCTGACTTGGCCAAAAGGTTTGTGAGGACCACAAGGCGATGTTCCTCGGTTGGCTCTCCGCCGCCGTCGTCGTCGAGCTGCTGCCCTGACGCCGAGCCGTCAAAGAAGGTGACCGAGGGAGCACGACGTCGTGGTGGAGCCGCCTTGTGCCAAGGTCGCCAAGCAGCAGCATCATTCGCAGGAGAACAGGCACGAAAACGGTCGCGGCTGCCATCGCGGCGAGGTGGCTTCTTGGGCGGTGCCGCGGGGACGAGCGGCGCACGGCAATGTTTGCACCATTTCCACCAGCCGAAGTTCTTGCCACACCCGCATGAGCCGCAGCGAATGAACGTGCCCCACGTGCCATCGATGCCCGCGGAGGAGCTCTGAGCCGAATGGCGTTCGTCTAGCACCGACGCGACACTCGCGAACACCCGGCGCAGCTGTGCGCTGCTCGCGCGCGCGCGCCTGAGCAAGGCGCCCTCGCCCTCACGGGGCGTGGTCCCAGCAGGCGGCGGGCGCCGCGAAGCGCGGTCGACGGCCGCGAGGGGAGCAGGGATGCGCCGATGGCCCCCCTCGCGGAATCGCAACACCCGTGGGCCCCGCGCGCGCTGGCTGGCCTCCCTGGGAGACGGGTCCGGTCGAGCGCGCGGAGGCTTCC